GAACCTTGGGTCTCGCCTCGCCGTGAGAAGGCGGCTGGCCGACCTTTGTTCTTTCGAGACAAAGCCCTGAACTTGGGTCCTCGCGCTGCGCAGGTACGAGGACTCCTTTACAGAAGACGACTGCTGGGGAGAGGGCTTGAGTTTGCTGTCTCCAAGGCCACCCAAGGTGTTGATTGGCAGGTTTCTTCCACATCCAGAGATTTTTCCGTTAAAATTTAAGCAGTTTGCCCTAAGCAGCTTAGCGAGACCCTGTCTCAAAATAAAAATGAAAAAAGGGCTGGGGATGTGGCTCAGTGGTAATCCACCCTGGATTCAATCCTCAATAACCAAAAAGAAAATATATATATATATTTTAAGCAGTTTATATCATTAGTTATGCTTGGCATCTTGGGTCACCACATACCATGATTATATAAAAAGTTGCATGTGAAATGTTAAGCCCTTTTTAAAAAATGCGTGGAGCATATTATATAGATTTAGAACCAAGGTAGTTTAAAGAGGAATTGCTTTCCTAATTTATATTTAACAATAAAGGCATATAATAATATTAATATTAATAACTGCACATAGTATCTGGGTTGGGGAAAGACTGAATTGTATCTGAGTTCACTTTCCTGTCCAGTCCCACCCCAGCTCCCCTGAGAATTTAATGTTTTGTGATGAAGGACGTTTCCAGATTTAAAGCAGCTTCTTTATGTTTTATAAGCTTTGGGCTCAAAAAAGTTTTTCAGATAATGGATAATAGAGCAAAAGTGAGTAAAATCTCAAGCCTACCTCCTGGGCTCTCCAACTTATTCCTTTGAACAACAATCCTTTGAGGATTCTTGAAGACTCAAAAAGGCAAATGTATTTCCATAAATATAAGTAATCAAAAATATAACTGAACCGTAGAGCACTGACCTGGCATTCTCAAGGCTCTGGGTTAGATCCCCAGCAAGGAAAAAAAAAAATGTTCAGGATCTAAGTTTAATTTTAATTTGCATTCCCCACCCCTCTTTAATTGTGTAGGTTTCTGGCCTTGGTTAGAAAATAGTTATGAATGAATAGCTATGAATAATAAAATGCTGCAGTTTCACAAAGGTAAGGGAAAGATGGTAGAGACTAACACTTAAATTGTTTTTTTCTCTGAGATTTTTTACTGTTAAGGTGGTGGCATTAGGTATTCATAGTGGGGAGCAGTCATCCTTTTGCACTACTAAATGTAAGCAGAGCCCCGATTTTAACTTTGTTCTGTTTACTAAGGGTCTTCACCTCATAAAGGTGTACTATTTATCAGAATCCTATAAAGGAGGTATTGGCTCCATCTCTGTGACTTAACACACTGGGTGGCCACAAATCTCCTTTTCTTACCCCATCCTTGGTCAGAAAATGCCCTTTATTATCGTAACTAAAACCTAAGTACTCCCTATGAGCCTAGAAGCTTTTGTAATTACATAAAGAACTTGACAGGTCTTCCTTGTTCCCTATGGTCAAGAACTGTCAATTCTAGCCCAGTCCAAGTATGCAATACAACCATCCAAAAGAGGGCCAGATGCAGTAGCACAGGCCTGTAATCCCAGTGGCTCTGGAGGCTGAGACAGGTAAGAAAGGAGAATTGAGAGTTCAAAGCCAGCCTCAGCAACTCAGTGAAGATCTAAGCAACTCAGCAACACTCTGTCTCTAAATAAAATACAAAAAACAGGCTGAGGATGTGGCTCAGTGGGTAAGCACACCTGGGTTAAAAAAAAAAAATCATCCAAAATAGTTTACTCCATTAACTTAGTTATGGTCTTGACTAGGCAACAATCCATTAAGGACAAGACTTCAAGTTAAGGGAGAAAAAAGGATATGAAATGGTTCTGCTCCCTCCTCTTTCTCCTTTGCTTCCTCTCAACATCACATTCTTCCTCATTCTAGTTCTAGTCATTCCACCTGCTTTGAGTTTTCTAAGGGTACAGAAATCCTAGCCAACAAAGTTCTGGGAGATACAGCCCTAGACATCTTTCCCAGTCTCATCAGTTTTCTTTTTGGCTATTCAAGGCCTCTTCAAAAACCCAGTCTTTTGTCTGTCATTCATTGGTCACTGCCTGTCGCTGAAGCTGGTCACAGTCCTGGTCTCCAGCACTGATCATATGACTCTGTATGCAACTGTCAAAGAGGAACAGGGAATATAATAATATTCTGAAAACTTGGAAATGACACAATAACATTAATATGAAAATAAAGGACTTAAAAAGGCTGACATATATCCTGGTTCATTCTGTGTCCAGGTGACAGTTGTTAGTGTATGTTCTGTAAGTTGTTTCAGTTTGACTTCCAGAGATAGACTATCATGGACTTTGTCAATAGCCTCCCTGGTGTGTTATACCACCTTCTTCCTGACAACGGAGGCAAGAGGAAAAGGAGCTGGAGGAGGAGTTACTCTAGAATAAGTTTCCTTAATTTTAAGAGAGATTTTTTTTCTTCCTTTGGATATTGTATGTCTAAATTCATTGCTGCAACTGTCTTGATACAAGTCTATAGATGAAACCAGAACTGAAAATTGCAGAACTGAGAATTATAATCAAGCTGGGTCCTTGATGACATTATTGATCCACCATCCATCTAGCCTAAGCTGATACTCCCAATTAGGTGAGTTAATTTTTATTATCTGAGTCCAAAAGGAATCTTTGAGAGGTTCATTGGTTTTGTTTTTCTCTGTTGCTTATTATGTTAAATAAACCTATATCTATTTATCTGTCAGTATGCCAGAGGAAAAACCTCATCACCAATGATCCTGTTCAATTTTTCTTTCTTTTTTTTGACAGTGCTGGGGATTGAACCTAGAACCTTGCACATGATAAGCAAGTGCCATAACATTAAGCTACATTACCCAGCCCCAGTTTTTCATATTTTAAGTTATTTTGCAAATCATTTACAGAAGCAAGAATAAAAGAATACTGAAAAATATTTAATAAGTTTTAATTTAAACATAGCAAACCCAGTTTTTTATACCATATTTTCCTACATTTGAAGAAATAGATACCATAAATGGTAGTTTCAGTTTGAATAGAAATACTTATCCATTAACATATATGAGCCAGGAACATAATTATCATATTCATTTTAAATACATCTCTGATAGTTTTAGTTCATGATTACTCTTGCTTCCTGTACCTGAAAAACACAAAACTCAAAGCTTTTGAAAACTTCAATGATTCATCATTTTGTTGAAGACAAGATAGCTATATTCTTTGCTTCTTAACTGCAAAACATTTTCATTTTTAGGTTTATAAACAAAAATTAGAATTAGCAATTCATGGAATTTTTTTTCATCTCTACCTTAGACGTTTCCTTCCATTCACCTATTCATGTGCATATTCCTTTATTATTTGTTGCCTTGAAAACTTTATAAAGTATGTTGATACATGAGATCATAAAAGATAGCAGAAAATATATCACATTTTTTTCCTTTTTATTGGTTCTTTTAAATTATATATAACATTGGGATTCATTATAAAAGCATGGAATATAATTTGCTCTAATTCAGTCCCCAGTATTTCCTCTTACCTTCGCCTTGTCCCTCCCCTATTCCCTTCTCTCTGCTCTACTGATCTATTATGTACTTTTAGTTGTGATTTTTTTTTTTTAGGTTAGTGTCTTATGGATATACATGATGATGAGATTCACTGTGGTCTATTCATACTTGTACATAGGAAAGTTAGGGAAGATTCATTCTACTCTTCTTCCTTTATCCTATCCCTTCTCCCAACCCCTCAGTTTCCTTCATCTATTCTACTGATCTTTCTTCTCTTTTGATGGAATGTCCCTTCCCCCGCTTTTCCCAGATCATATGGTGATACCTTTCCTAAATTTTTGAGAAATCTCTCATACTGCTTTTCAAAGTGGTTGCACTAATTTGCAGTCACACAAACAGTGTATGAGTTTACCTTTTTCTCCACATCCTCACCAACACTTGGTATTATTTGTATTCTTGATAATTGCCATTCTGGCTGGAGTAAGATGAAATCTCAATGTAGTTTTGATTTGCATTTTTCTAATTGCTAGAAATATTGAATATTTTTTCATGTACTTGTTGATGATTTGTATTTATTTTGAGAAATGAATTTTTAGTTTTTTTGCCCATTATTGATTGGGTTATTTGGTATTTTGGTATTAAATTTTTTGAGTTCTTCATATATATTCTGGATATTAATGCCCTATTTGAAAAGCAGGTGGCAAAGATCTTCTCCCATTCTGTGGGTTCTGTCTTCACACTCTTGTTTCCTTTGCTGTGCAGAAACTTTTAAATTTGATGCCATCCCATTTATTGTTTTTTTTTTTTCTTGTCTTTAGGAGTCTTGTTTAAGGAAGTCAATTCTTATGCCAACATGTTAGAGTATTGGGCCTACATTTTCTTCTAGAAGTTGCAGAGTTTGAGGTCTAATTCCTAGGTCTTGATCCACTTTGAGTAGACTTTTGTGCTAGGTGAGAGACAGGAGTCAAGTTTCATTCCTCTACATGTAGATTTCCAGTTGAAGAGGCTATCTTTTCTCCAACATATGTTTTTGGTTTCTTTGTCTAGTATAAGATAACTGTATTTATATAAGTTTGTGTGTGTCTTTTATTCTATTCCATTTGTCTTTCATGTCTGTTTTAGTGACAGTGCCATGCTGTTTTTATTAATATAGCTCTGTAATATAATTTCAGATCTGGTCTTCTGCTTTTAGCATCATACTTTCTGCTCATGATCGCTTTAATTATTCTAGGTCTCTAATCTTTCCAAATGAATTTTAGAACTGCTCTGTCTACTTCTGTGAAGAATGTCATTAGTATTTTGATGGGAATTGTATTGAATCTGTATAACACTTTTGGTAGTATGGCCATTTCTGTGGTGGGGGCGGTAAACTGGGGATTGAACTCAGGGACATTCAATCACTGAGCCACATCCCCAGCCCTATTTTATATTTTCTTTAAAGACAGGGTCTCACTGAGCTGCTTAGCAGACTTGCTTTTGCTGAGGCTGGCTTTGAACTCGAGATTCTTCTGCGGAGATTCTTCTGCTGCATCCTCATGAGCCACTGGGCTTACAGGCATGCGCCACTACACCCGACAACATGGACATTTTGATACTA